TTAGTCCACAACAGTGACCTTTACTAGTATTTTGTGGGTTGTTTTGAGACAGTGTCTCAGGTAGTTTAGGCTGGCCCTGAACTTACTTATGTAACCCCAACTGGCCTTGCATTTATTCTGATCCTCTGCCTTGAAGTCCCAGCTGCTGGGATTACAGGTATGCCCCACAATGCTTGGTTCCATGGATGTTGTGTTCTTTTGTTTTTTAAAGCTTTTTGTTGGCCTTGTTTTTCATGGTGTGAATGCCTGTAACTTTTTTTTGAAACAGCTTGTCATGCAGTTCAGACTGGCCTTGAACTCACTACTGTGTGTAGCTCTGGCTGGTTTTGAACTCAGAGTGCTCCTCCTGTCTCAGCCTCCTGAGTACTGGGATTATAGGCATGAGCCGCCATGCCCAGCGAACTGCAATAAGTTTGAGGTCTCTTACTTTTATACTAAAGAAGTTCCTTTAATTATTTTGTAAGGTGAGTTGGCTAGCAACAGATTCTGGTTTCATTTGGAGAAAAATCTTAATTTTTGAGTTAATTTTTCCAGATTTAGGATTTTTTTTTAAAATTTTTTTTTTTAATTTATTTGAGAGAGAGAGAGAGAGAGAGACAGAGAGAGAGACAGAGAGTGAGTGAGTGTGTGTGGTGTGTGTGGCCAGCTCAGCCCACCAGGGGGCGGGGCTGGCTGGCATGTGGTGCTGGGGAATCGAACCGTGGTCCCTGATGCTTTGCTAAGCTTGTTCTAAGTAGGTGCTTTAGACCACTGAGCCATCTCTCCAGCCCCCAGGTTTAGGATTTTTGATTGGAAGATTTTTTTCCTTTTGAGTGCTTCATCTGTGCTGGCTTCTGTTCTCCCTCTAGTATTTCTGCTAAGAAGTAGAATGTTGTTATTATTATTTTATTTATTTATTTTGGTATGTTTGTGTATTTTTGAGACAGGAACTGTTGATGCAGTTCAGGCTGGCCGTGAGCTTACTTTGTAGCCCAGGCTGGTCTCAAACACGCATTGACTCTCCTGAGTTAGATTACCAACTGCTGGAATTACAGGTGTGCACTGCCATGCCCTGCCTAGAATGTTAATCTTACTGGTATCCTTTTTATTTTTTATTTTTTTTATTTTTTATTTTAATTTTTATTTATTTGTGTGTGTGTGTGTGTGTGTGTGTGTGGCCAGCTCAGCCCACCAGAGGGCAGGGCTGGCTGGCATGTGGTGCTGGGGGATTGAACCGCGGTCCCTGTGCTTTGCTAAGTTTGTTCTAAGTAGGTGCTTTAGACCGCTGAGCCATCTCACCAGCCCCTGGTATCCTTTTTAGTAATAGGTTTCTCGTGCTCCTTTCAAGATTTTTTTTTATTTTGACTTTCTGCATTTTTGCTGTGATAATTTTATGAATTACTTCATACTTACCTGACTGGAGATTAGGAGCTATTTTTCTGCCTGCTTCACATAGGCCTCACTTAAATCAGAGTCTAGTCGGGAGTGGGTACAGCGGAAAGTTTTTCTCTGAGTGTTATCCCCGCTCTTGGGGAAGGAAGAGGAAAGCAGTCTTGAGTTATCTCAGCTTGCCTCATCTCCCTGATGAGAGTAAGAGTTATTTGGAAGCCGGCTTCCTCAGTGCTTCACATCCAAGGTGGAGCGGGCACTGGGCAGTAGGGTTTCCCCAGGCTGACTCCCCTAGCTCAGCAAGGGAGTTGGACGCTAGGTGGCTGGTGGTGGGGTGAGAAATGCTGCTGGTCTGCACTTTCTGGGACTAAGACCTTTCACCTGGGAACACTGGCCGCGCTAAGTTTGTGTTGTGGGTTGCAGCCGCTGAAGTGGAGTCTGTTCCTTGCTGAGGTGAGAGGAGAAAGGAGAGAGCACTGTGGGTGCAGATACCACATACTGTTACTGAGTTTTTGTAGTAGATTTTTCTTGAATAGATGTTTAATTTGCTCTTTACTCTTAGATCCACTTTCAGAGGCTTTAAAATAGTGGTTCTGATTTTTTTTTTTCTTTTTGAGACAAGGTCTTGCTATGCAGTTCAGGCTGACCTTGAGATCGCTTTGTGGTCCAGGTTGGTCTTGAACTTGCAATGATCATCCTTGCCCCAGCCTCCCAAGTGCTAGGATTACAGGCGCACACCACTCCTGGCTATGTGACCTTTTAGGTCCAGTTTATCAAGAAGCAGGTCAGGTGTTCCTCTCGAGCTGTCATGGTAGAAGCCATGCTCTAGATCAAGAGTGGTGGAATTTAGTATTTTTGGACCCTTGGTTCTTTCTGCTGATTTAGGCGTAAAGTAGTGCTGAGCCTGCCCCTGTATTGCTCCTTTTTATTCCATTACATATTTTTCTTGTATTCATATCAGAAATAGTAAGTGCTTGCCTGGCATGCGCAAGGGCCTGAGTTCAATCCCTGGTTCTGCCAAAAACAAAACAAAACAAAAAAAACCTCTGAAATAGTGTCTGTATGCCTTGTTCCCCTTGAAATGTTAGTTTTGCAAAGGTAGGAGGCTTTGTTTGAAAGTAAGTCTTCAGTGCTTCAAAACATGTGCCTGCTACATGTTATACTGTCATTATAGCACTTAATAGACCTGTGGTACAAAACACAGGACACCAAGTTACAGCATTATTTTTCTAAAAGTGCTTTGAAAGGAGTACATGAGTGGTGCTGTTATGGAGAAGTCTGATTTGTGTGCATCAGAGCCAGAGTAATACATATATATTATTGTGAGCATTGTTGCCTTAATAAACCAGGCTCTGGAATCGTGGTGCCTCTTTCTAGACTCATCAGTGAGTCAGTTTAAAACTTTTAGGACTGTGGCCTGGATGATATAATCAAGTAGTTAATGGGTTTCAGGCAGTTCAACCTAGCTGGCCTCTAAACTCAAGGCACCCATTCTCCTTCTCCAGCCTCCCAACTGGCTGGAACTACAAGTACACAGCACTGTGCCTGGCTTTTCAAGGTAACTCTTAGTAATTAAAGATTAGAAGGGCCAGGGAGATGGCTCAGTGGAATAAGTGCTTCCCTGGCAAGCACAAGGGCCTGAGTTCAATCCCCAATTCTGCCCCCCCCCCAAATAAATAAAGATAAGACAAAATGGATGTTGGAAATAAGAAACTAGGATTGGGAAAATGGCTACCAAAGACACGGTACACTTCTCAAAACATCCAGCTCCAAGACAAGCAGAGAACAAATTCACTTTTTTAAAAAAATTTTTATTTGTGTGTGTGTGTGTGTCCAGCTCAGCCCACCAAGGGGCGGGGCTGGCTGGCATGTGGTGCTGGGGGAATTGAACCTCGGTCCCTTTGTTTTTGCTAAGCTTGTTCTAAGTAGGTGCTTTAGACCACTGAGCCATCTCACCAGCCCCACAAATTCACTTTGAATGTGTTTGAGCAGAATCTGAGTATATTGAACTGACCTCGAAGTGTCTGGATATTCAAGTATAGTGTGGATAAGGACCATGAGGGTCACCACCACACTGGCACATGGTGAGCAAGACACATAGAGATAGAGGTGTATGGCAGAAGATGCTGTTGAGAAGGATGCATCCAGCATGTGAAATACCCCATGCTTGTCTTCTGTGCTGCGTTACCATGCTGCACCCTACATGGCATTCTGATTGCATCTCTGGTAGGGAGAAAGCAAGAGAAAACATGATACCTTGAAGTTATAGGACTGTTGTATCTTTTCTTGCATCTTCACCTTCAGTGTAGATTAGAAGTCACGGACATGTAAAAGTTGACAATTCTAAAAAGGAGTCTCAATAATGTGAAGAAGCCTAACAGAGAATTCATTCACATTTCTAGCTCTACATCACCATCGTTTTCAAAAGCAAGTGATATGCATTGGGATCAAAAGTTCTTCTGAAAAATGAGTGGTTTTCAGAAATACTCTAGGTGATTCTCATGTGCAGCCAGCATTGCCATACACTAATGAAGTTACATCTTCGTAGAAGTAACAGAATGTTCACTCAACCTTTACACAGTGTAAAGCTGGTTATTATTTAACCCAATCTGTTTTGCTTATGAGGTAGGTCATCTCAGGTCAGAGGGAGGGAGAAGACTGTCTTTCTAGAAGGAAGAATGCCCATTCTCTAGACTAGCCTTCAGGCCTCATCTCTGCAAGGTGATAGGAGTGCAGAAGCCATCCTTGTGGAGGATTTAGAATCTAGAGGAGACAGTTTCCACTACGGAGGGGGGGTTGTTCCCACTAAGCCATTCAGTCAGCTTTCTTCTCTGTTTGCAAGCTCTTTGAGCCTATTTTTGAGCCACTGGTGTTCTGTCTGGTGAAGCCTTGGACCTCTTCTCAAGTTAAAATGTTTTTAAATGCAGTAAAATACATGATGTTACAAAGGAAACATTACATTTTAGTACAACTATCCAAATGACAAAATTTGTTCAATAATGTTTATTAACAAATGACTTTTTTTTTTTGAGATAGTGTCTTGCTGTGTAGTACTCAATACTATAGCCCAGGTTAGCCTGGAACTGGTGGCTGTCGTCCTGCCTCAGCCTCTGTGCTGAGGTTACAGGTGTGCACCACCTCACCCTGTTTAACACATAACATTCAGTGGTGGATGTAATTATCACAAGTTTTAAGTGCAGCAATAAATGTGAACTTCAATATGCAGTGGTTTTAAAAAGCAATTAATATGAAGCATTTGGTTTCTGTTAGATATAGTGATGGATAATAAACTGTATTGGCTGATTGCCACATTCACAATTGAAAAGTGCTAAATTTCCAGCTTAATTTGTTAAGATAAATATGTAATTTTAATTTTTAAAATTCAATACTGGAAATCTTATATGCTGAAGTTAGACATAAATGTTAGTCAATGGTTAAAAGATTTATTTCAAATACTAGGGTTTACATATGTATTTTCATAGCCCATTTTATGGTATTAAATTACTAAAATTCAATATTGGAGTAACTTTAAGTTTGGCATTGGCTGAGTATAGTATCAGATTTTATGTCCAGCATTAGCCAGGGAGTTCTTTGCGCCTCCAGATGCTAACAAATATGTTTTGATTTTGCAGGAATACAAGCGCAAGTTAGCCAGAGTTTCCCTGGTGCGCAAAGAACTTAGGTCCCGGATCCAGAGCCTACCAGATTTATCTCGATTGCCCAATGTCACTGGCAGCCACATGCATCTGCCCTTTGCGGGGGACATCTACAGTGAAGATTGATGGCCGTTCTCTTTCCAAGGGCCAGGACTTTGCAAGAGATGGAGACAAGTTAGGTGGACAGTCCTGTAGCATTATTTTTGTATACTGTTGAGAGTGATGCTAACAAAAGAAACAAATAATTTATAAAGTTGTTTAAAATGTTGGTTTGTTTACTATTTTATTAGTAAGTTAAACATAACTTAGTTTAAATAAAGTGATGATCTCTGTGAATTAATAAGCTCACAAATAGTGATTATTTTCAAAAGATCTTTTTGTAAATTTTTTTGATCGAAGGCGTTGTGAAAAATTCCATATTTCTATTTCTTCATATATTTTCAGTTGTTTTTCTTTGTTTTCACTAATCACTGTATACTATCTAATTACTAAAGGGGAAGACCTAATCAAGAGTTGGTTGAGACATTATTATGGTGTAGTTAGGACTTGATTATAGAGAAAACTAAGTGTTCCAACTTAATCTTCACCTTTCTTCCCAACCCCAGTGCTAGTTCTGTACCTCCCCAGCCTTTGATCCTTAGAGGCAAGCAGTGTAATGCTAAACAGCACCAGCGGCAGGGTTAGAGCAGAGCCCAGAGAACTTTACTCCAGTAGCAGTCCATTCCAACTGCCAGTGTAATGAGATGTTAGGCAGGGATTCCTTTCATTACACTGTTTAGAATTAAATATTTGGGTACATTAATATGAAAAAAAAACTTTGGAAATACAAAATTTTACACTCTACCAAGAGAATAACTTTGGTTCTGGAGTTGGTTTATGTTTAACACATTAGCCTCTTAACATAATTGAGCCCTTTAATTAAAAAACATTCATGTATGGAATTAAAAGAGACCTGAAAGAATGATGCTTTTTATTATTCCCTCAACCATATAACTTAAAAAATAATAGTATTTTTTAGCTCTAGTAGTTCTAGAATACAGTATTCATTACTGTTTAGTAAGGAACATGGAACATTGTTTCTGTAGGAGATTTGAATGACTGTATATTTGGAAATTAAGCAGTGCTATCCCACAGGGTAGATCTGATAAATTTTATATTTGTATATTTGCAGATGTGACTCAAAACAAATGTACTTCTACCTTTTATTTCTAACCTTGTGTGTTAGTGAGTTGCATGCTCTCCAGCTTTCTTTTTAAATCACACTGTTAAGCTGTGAATTTGTCTTTAATAATAACTTAGGATATTTTTCTCATTCATTGCTTTACATATTAGACATTTGTCATTGTAAGCAGATTCAAATTAGATAATAAAACGTCTTTTAAATCCCACAAGCCAGTCATATTTCACTACTCTGAATGACTTCACTCTTTTTTTTCTCAGCTAGTAAGATTGTGATTGAAATAAATTTATATGTGAAGGAAAAGGCATACATTTATTAATAGTCATTATAGGAAATAGTGCTTTTACCAGTGTGACCTCTCTCCAAGACAGACACATGTAGTAGTCCTGAACCATAGATGTGTTATATTCCAAAGTGTTTCAGACAACTTTTGGGAGTTAGGATATATTTTCTACAGAAACAACAGTAGTTGGGTTCCCTGCGCACAGCTCACATTACCCCTGAAAGCTTACGTGGGAACCTAATCCACTTAACCATGGATGTCTTTAACTTACAGTATGGTTCATAAATTACCCATGGTAGACCTTGACCAATATTTGTAACATCACTCTAATGGGATTGTGTATGGCAGCCAAACTTAGGCCTGGAGGTGTCTGCGCCTATGTTGTGTACAAGTGTCTTTTGGTGTAGGAAGTAGAAGAAATGATTCAGCAGAGGGGAAGGGGAGAAAACAAATATACAGTTAGGAAACCTGCTTATATCTATTATGAAAGTATACTGTTTTTGTTGTTGCTAATGTGAAAGCAAAAACCTGTATGTTAACTTATTTTCCGTATCTTGACCTTATTTATGATCTGCTAAAATGATTTATCCATTCAAAAATATATATATATACACATACATATATTTTCCATTTAAAACTAATTTATAAACTATGTACTTGTGGGAAGATTTGAAATCCTTTAGAAGTTTGTTGGTGTATTTTCACCATTAAAGACAAACTTCTGACTTAGATACTGATTTTAATGCCAGTATCTGCTCTAAATATTTATGATAAAAATGCATTATTTTTTTAAAGAGCTTGATGAGATTTGTGATAAGTAATAGTACTCAACAATCAGAATCCCGCTCCTTGATCAGTCCTCCACAAATTTCAGTTGGGTAGTTCCCTAACTGAACATTAATAATATAATCTGTTTTAGAAGTCATGTTCTCAGCCTTATTGTAGTTAGCTTAGTAAGCCTTAGCAGTAATAGTCTTCCTTCTTAAAAGGAAGTCTAAATTTTCACTGTAAATGGGTTAAGTTGGGTTGGGGGTACTATGATACCAAATTCTTAATCATGAGCATTTTCTTCACTGTGTATCTGAGGCAAATCATGCAACTGAGTGTGGTTTGACCTGGCCCTTCAAGAGAAAAGTGTTTCACCATACTTGCATGAGGGGTTCTATGCTTTGAATGGATAGCATCACTCTTTTCTCCATAAAGCGCAGATAGCTGTCCGGAGTGGCAGTTTGAACAGATTCTCTGATGTTCCCTCTACTCCTTACAATACTACATTAAGAACCTTAGCAAGGAACTGGGAGTCTAAGAAAAGAAAATTTTGCTCAATACCAACCTCCCTATGAGGAAAACCATTCCAGAGACAGCTATTTTGGTAATCTTTTCCATATGCAGTCTGAATCAGGGTTTTTCTATTAGAAATCCTTTGGCATCAGCAAAAGCTGGAATGACTGATTTGCAAAATTAAAAGACAAACCTAGATTTTAGTTTTTACTGCAGAGGAGCAACTCTTCACAGTATAGTTATTGAACTGGTTCTGACACCTTTTTAGAGAAAAATTTCAAAAGTGAATTTTAGGGAAAGTTGAAAGGTTCTTTCTGAATTTTCCATTCTAAAAATTTATATAATGTGGAATAACATAAAGCTACTAAACTTCTTTGTATTCTATTAAATAGCTTAAGATGTCATGTTTCATAATTGTTGCACTATATTAAAACTTTTAAAAGTGTACGCCCGGTTCTTCTCTGTATAAAAAGGCAACATTGTGTTACTTAATGAATTTATTTATATAGACATTTATCAACAACTTTAATTCTGGCCATCCACACTATTCTGAGGTGGCAATAGCACATGGGAAGATGAACCCTTCCTGTTTATCCTTTTTTCTTTGGCTGTATGTGATGACAGTATAAATGTTCTTAATAAAGATTTATGTTCTTTTTGAAGTTTCACTGTATAGGTTGTCTCTATGACTGATTCATTGGATATGGGTGTTAAAGATGACAGATTAATGGACTAGGAGGGAAGCAGAGTACTGAAAGTATTAATGTTACTTTCAGCTGTGTTAATGGCAGAGAAATACTGAAGTTTGAGAATCATTCAGAGGGTTTATTGAAAGTCTGTGACTTTTTAAAATTTAAAATGCAGCATATGGGGCCAGGGAGATGGCTCAGTAGAATAAGCACAAGGGCCTGAGTTCAATCCCTGATTCTGCCAAAAAAACCAAACCCAAAATACAGCATATTTATAGTAGCCCAGGCTACTTAAAAGTTCAAGGCCAGCCTGGACTACTTAGACCCAGTCTCAAAACAAATAAGTTCAAGTCTAATAAAGTTTCTTGAGATTTAAGGCAAACTTTTAGCTGTGAGCTAAGAAAGTTAAACACTTCCAACATACAGTAGCACAAGATGGACATTTCCATTCCAAAAGTTACGAGGAAGATAGGAATGGGAACAAAGCATGACCGAAATCCAGCTGGATGCATGTTAAGTCACATAGTTCATGTTCACCGTCCAAGGCAAGATGTGAAATCCAAAGGGTTTGGGTGACTCTGCCCCTATGGCACTTTGAGTAGTTGTAGCTCCCATGGCTTCTCTCTTGGGATGACTTTGCTTACTCATTGCAACTTACCTCAGATGATCCATGTTTCTGGTCTCAGCCTTCTGGAGTCTCCATTATACCATTGGCTTCACACAACTTTACAAACTGCTCTTCAAGATTATACTGCCTGGTTTTCCAGACCTAAAATATGGCAGGAAGCCTACCTGACCTCACAACTCTTACATTCTAAAACAAGCACTATGTAGATGATGCCAGGGTTGGCTGTCAGCCAGAGCAGCCTTGCTTCAGTTTTAGTGCCTGGATTGTTGAGTGCTGTGAACCCAATCCCAAGGAACAAATTCTTTAGGCTTGTGTCATTCTGGAGCATGGTGCTTTAGAGCTCTTTTCCCATACCAAAGCCTTTCCTTTATCTTCACAATTTTGGAGCTACAAACACAAGTCCTGCTAGTTCTCAGGTTGTCTTTTCTATTGTCCTCTTCTGAAATATTTGGCTTTTTCTTTTTTTTCTTTTGGCAGAACCAGGAATTGAACTCAGGCCCTTGAGCTTGCCAGGCAAACACTTACTCTACTGAGCTAACTCCCTGGCCCCTGATTTTTTTTTTCTTTTTCTTTTTTCTTTTTGGCTTTTTAAGGTCTTTTCAGTGACCAGTTTCTCCTCTGCTTTGTCTTTTTAGGCCAGAACTTTACTAGAGCAAGCCTTCTTGCCAAACTCAAAACATTTTTATTTACTGGTACCAGGGATTGAACTCAGGACCTTGGGCTTGCCAGGCAGGTGCTTAAGCTACTGAACTATCTCTGTGGCCCAAACTCAAAACATTTTAAATCATTCTTCTGGGCTCTTTGCTCTTGATTCTAAACATAGACTGTCTAAAGGCCCCTAACAGTAGCCATACCTATACTTCAATATTAGACTGCCATAAAATTTCTTCTACCAGGTTAATTAGTCCACTGCCTTTAATAGTCTCAGGCAAAGTCTCTGGACAAAAGCAAAATGTAAACATTTTCTGATAAAGCATACCACATGTGATCTCCTGTCTAACAGCCAATTCAGTCCTTTCCAATGGAAACTTGGTCTTTCCTGTAGCATTCCTATCAGCATTCTGATCTGAGTTCTTAGAATCTTCCATCAAGTACAGTTTAAGGCATTCCAAGACTGTTTCGTCAGTGAACATCTCCAAACTTGCTGCAGGCCAGTTCCAAAGGCTCCTGAATGATGTGGTCAGGTACAGTCACAGCTGTGGCCCCACTTCTGGTACCAAAATCTGTCTCAGTTACTTTCATTGCTGAGACAAAATACCTCAGACACAAAGTTCAAGGAGGAAAGATTTATTTCAGCTCAAGGTTTGTA